AGGAAGGTTCTGTTTTCTCCAACAGGTCAGGCCAACGAAAGCCTTCCCCCTTTTCAACATTATTGTTGGAACCTTCCTCATTGTGTAATCTAACCATTAATTGGTTTAAATAAAACTGCTTAAACAACAAGTTGCATTCACCTATCTCTTCCATAATTAAACTTTAATAAATTTAACGTTTTTGGCTAACAACAGAGCCATAAGAAAGAAAAATGTTTCTAATGAAACACATAACCCTACGCAATGAGCTTACAACTATTCTAGGGAAACTCATCTGCCACAGCTGTTTGTGAGATCGGAGGTACATACTCAGAATAAAGTACGGACTCTTCCACAATTTCTGTAGAGCCGAACGGATTAGTACTGGCATCCATTCTGAATACTTGATCTCCTTCCCAAAAAATGATCTGTTGATGGAGAGAAGAAGACACGCATTTGGAAGCGTGAATCCAATCTCGTCCTAAAAGGACCGAGTTAGTGGTGTTGGCATCTACCACAAAGAACACCGTAGAAATCACCTTCGGTCCAACTTTAATAGGGGCTACCATCATCCCTTCTGGTTTCATTGGTTGCCCCGTGAAGCTTTTCATCTCGATATCTACTTGAGATAGATCATAAATTCCTTTTCCCAACTTCTTCAACGTCTTGAGAGGCATAACGTTGAAGACAGCTTCATTATCAATGAAAATCTTGTTAATCGGCTTACCACAGATGTGAGCGTTAACATATAATGGTTTCAAGTGTGGGATTACTCATTCTGGTATAGGTGGAAAACCATAGGTGGGGGACTGTTGTGTGTATGTCCGGAATTAGCAGCCATTGCTGCCCATTCTGGTTCCTCTTCCTTCAGCCTTGCCCAGATAGGCTCATCTTCTTCCTCGAACCACCGCATACTAGTCATCCTGATTTCGAACCCGGTCTTGTCGGTCTTCACTATCTCGCTACGCAAAGCCTTCGTCTCGTCTGGAGCAAATGACCCAAAGACTATCTCAGGCACGTTTTTTTCGGTTGTTTCTATCTCGGGATCAATGTTGATCCGTCTGCAGAATTGACATCGGAAAAACCTGGCCTTCTTGATAGGTCTTTCGATTTCCCAGCGCCTCTGGAGTTGGTCGCTTGAGTTTTTCCTTTTGGGTGACGCCTCCTTATTCTCCTTCCCTTTCTCTGCTCGCCTCTCGTGCCGAGATGCATACCTGCATTTAGCATTATGGATTTGCGTACGATTCATACCTGGAAATCGAGGATCTATATCTACGGGTAACGGCCTTCTGTTCCGACTCCATTTGTCATGGACTGATTGTGGCTGCGCGTCGAACGATCTCGCACCACCACTTTGTCCTTCAATTCCACTTCGAATAAACCATCCATTTTGTCCCATTTCTCTGCCACCTTGGTTTCGCAGATCTTGAACTTGTCCTCCTGATCAAGCTCTCTCTCCTTTGGCTTACGCTCCTTCCGTTTGGCGTTCTTTCATCATCTCTTTGTGTGTCTTGTGAAAAACGCACAAAGATTACTGCAGTAGTTACTTTCGGGAAGGGCTGTTTCTCTACTCCCATCATCACATATTTGAATATTCCAGCTTTGATCGCCCTCTGAATTTCCTTTCGGAAGTGCGTACACTGGTTAGTGTAATGCGTAAAGGAGTTATGCCACTTGCAGTACGGCCTTCCCTTTATTTCTTCCTTTGTCGCCAACCGTTGCCCCTTAGGAATGCGAATTTGACCATCTGCTAACAGAATATCAAAGAACTCGTCTGCTTTGGATGCGTCAAACGTTGGTTGCTCCCGCTCTTCCGCCCCTGGGAGGGGTTTCAGTTTGGAACATACATACGGCTTGCCATTCACAATCTCTGCCGCGATTTCTTCAACACATTTCCCTTGTTCATCATTAGGAGTATACATCTCTGTATCAACACTGGCCATCTGCTGGACCTTGTTCCACCGGAAGTCATGGTCCTTCTCTCTAAAGAGGGACTTTACTAAACTTGCCAAATCTCTGACATTGTGGGTTGTCAAAGCTTCTCGCAGTCGCGTATGCATATTCCTCACCATCAAATTGGTCATTTCACTTTTCTCAATGATTGTTGGGCAACGCCCTTTCATCAATCGTATCCGCTATATGAACTGATAGGCGGTCTCCTCCGGCATCTGTTTAATTTCCAGAAGGTTGGTAAGCGAGACAGTCGGAAGAGGATTAAAAAACCTCGCATGAAACGCCGCTTCCAAACCTTCCCAAGTCTGCAACTGTCCTGGCGGAAGATTGGCAAACTAGGAAAAAGCCCTTCTTGTGAGAGACAATCCGAACAATTGTAACTTGTGAAATGGGTTATTGCCCACTTCCCCTAGTTGAGCTTTGAAACGTCGCACATGCTCAATAGTCGATGCTTCATCCTCCCCTGAGAATGAGTGGAAATCAGGAGGCCTATAATTCCTCGGGAGGGGATGTTCATTGATGATTCTTTCTGGAAACGGCCTTTGATACGCCGGTCTGTTCACAGTTTGAGGATGCATTCCGAAATGCACTCGCAGAACTTGAGCAATGTCCTCCGGATCTACTCTGGGTGGGATAGGGTCAAAGACGGGAATGGGATCGTGAGCCTGTCCCTCATTCTCTCTTCTCTAGGGAAGGTTGGCTCGGCTCTGACACCCAGTGGAACATTATTTAGGTATGTTAAAGGAGTCTTTCCTCTATCAACCCTAGTAGCGGCACTTGGAAGGGTGTTGTCTACATAAGAAGGCCCCGCAAAATCTGCTTGTAACATGGATGGTGAAATCCCTGAGGGTGACTGAGTGGGTTGAAGAGTAACCCTTGATAAAGCCTGATCCAGCATGTTCTGCATGAGATTTTGTTGCTCACGCAACATATTCTGCATAGCCAAAGTTTGCTGATTGTTCAAATGTTGAACATAAAACACCCAATCAACAGGTGTTTGTGGTGGTTCCCCTACATTTGGCATGACGGGTGGTGAGATTGTTTCTCCCACTGGTATTGAAGATACTTGGGGCTGTGAGCCAGCCATATGGATCCTTCCGATAACTCGGCCGGACCTCAGTCGTATAAAATTTTCTCTTGACGTAGGATCAGCAATCTTGCCTTTCTCCTACTGTGGTCGCCAAATTGTTGATGTAATTTTTCAACAATAAAAAGTAAAATTCGAAAATATAAATTATCTTCGAATTTGATTGAATAAATGCCTGAGATTAAGAATCCCTAAACACTGTACGATACAAAAGAAAAAAGAAAAAGGAAAATACTACAGACTGTAAAAGTAAAAGGATGATCCCCAAAAGAAATTCACTGAATTTGATGTCGATTGAAGATACATTTGAGGTCGTGAAAAGACCTATTTAAAAAACTCATGTCAACCGCTCTAATGTCGTTATCAGGTCGTGCTTTCATATCCGATCGCCAGTTGTAACTTCTTCCAACCGCCTCAAAATTGCTTTTCACCCGACCTGCACGTCCACTGCTTCATCTTCCTTTGCCAGTCTTCCATTTGCCCGACCTCTGCGTCGGCCGCCTTTTTTTTGCCTGACTTCTATTTGTCTGACCTCCATGCCAACCGACCTAAATGTCTACTGTCTCTTTTTCCTTCGTCCGACTTCTCCTTATTCGACCTATGTATCCCCCGATCACCCATTCACAGGTTCTCCCAAAAAGCCCATTTTTTTAATAACGCCTTAACCATTGAGCCTATACCCAAATTCATAATTTAATCAATAAGTCCATTCTAAAAAAAGCATACTATTGATTTTCCTTACTCAACAAAATTATTTATAAAATTTGTATAGTGCACGGATCAACGTACTAGTTGAAAATAAACCAAACAAATTTTTATCATGTTTCAATGTTATTAAAAATATATATTCTCTCTCCCTCTTGTCCATATCGCATTAATATATATATATATATTCTTTTAATAACTATGAATTTTTTTTAATAAATATTTTTACGTTATCATTGCATTATTATTTTTAAAATAACGATAAAGTAATTTTTACATTTATCTATTACAATTAATATATTATTATTTTTTAAATTTTGTATAAAAAATAAATATACATCTTAACCTAAGACGGAGAAAATATTATAAAATAATTGCTTATAAGTCACATATAATTTAAAAAATCGACAACATATTCTCCGGTGATATAAAAATTTACATAGGACTTTTTTTTATTTTAAAATATATTTCACAAAGCCACTAATTTTGAAAAATATTGCACATAATTTTATTTTTTATTTTTTTAAATATTGCTTGAAAAAAAAGAGAGAAATACTCAAAAATTTTAAAATACAAGAAATTATAAATAATTTTGCCTTATAAAATTAAGGGTGGGCAAAAAAACCAAACCGAACCGTCGAACCGTTGAACCGAATTGAATCGAACCGAATTTTCGGTTAACCGAGCAAATTCGATTCGAATACAAATACTGCATATTTGATATTTGCTCGGTTCGGTTCGGTTTCGATTTTTGATATTTTTTTCGGTTCGGTTAACCGAACCAAATATATTTATGTTATTATATTTTAAGTTTTATATTAATAATTATATTCGATTCGATTCGGTTCGGTTTCGGTTTCGGTTCAAATATTTGAAATATTTGCAAATATTTTGATTTAATTAGAATTTTGATTATTTTTTAATATATTATTTTTTAATTTCGGTTCGGTTCGAATTATTTGCAAATATTGCAAATATTTTCGGTTAACCGAAAATTCGATTAACCGAAATTTTCGGTTTGAATACAATTCACGATTTCGGGTATTTGTTCGATTCGATCCGGATATCAAATACCTACATATTTGCAAATATCGGAACCGTGTTCACCCCAAAATGTTATTACCTATATTTTATTTTATTTTTTTTTATATAATGTACCCTCTCTTAATACAATACAAATCACGTGACCAATCTGTTACTATTTAAATGTAGGATACGCGCTACCAGGGCGCGTGGGGCCTTTCCCCTTCTTTACTGCTGTGGTCGCCCTTCATTGAATTGAATTCATTAATGGCGCACAAAGAGAGAGAGAGGAGAGAGAGAAACCAGCACAACAAACCCTTTCGTTGATATTCTAATTTGATTCCAATCAGGGTTTCAAATTTAATCGAAAAATATCAGCGCCATACTTAATGTAATTTCCTTCTTAATTCGATTTCCTCTGAACGATGCCTCTATTAGAGCGTTTTTCGAATGTTTTCCTTTCCAGATGAGATGACTCTCCAAAACCCTTTTACCTTTCAGAAAACCCTTCTTCTGTCTTACCCATTTAAGTCTCTTCTCTGAAGTTTCGGCGCCCCCTCTGCTTGATTTTTTCCTTCTCTCAGAATATGTATTTTCTTATTATTCTTCGTTAATTTTTCCCGAAATAGTGTCTGGGGCGAAAAGGCCGAACTGAACGGACTTTCTACAATTGTGTTGCAGAATATTGACGCGAATTTTTAGGCGCCCGTAGTTTCGTCTTCTTGTTTCGGTACTCAATTTTGCCTGTTTATGTTTATGATGTTGTTCTTTACTTTTCGGTTTTGATTTCGAATTTTCATTTCCTGAATTTGAAATTTTGATGGTTTTTGTTTCTAGGGATTTTGGGAAATTGTGGCGATGGAGGGGAGGAGAAATCATAGGGGGGAAAATCGTAGGAGATCAGTGCCGAGTAGAAAGCCACCCCGCGGTGAGTTTTTTTTTTTTTTTTTTCTTCTTTTCTTGGATTTTGATTTAAGCTGGTTTTTGAATTTGTATCGAGATGATTCTTGTCGGTTTCTTGTGAAGATGTTTAATCTTCAATCTTGTGGCTTAAACAGAATGTGATTTCACTCATACGTCTGTTTGATTATCCTACCATTTGATGTGCCTGTAGAGGTTTAATGTTGGCAAATTGTTTGTTATAACCTAGAAACCTAAATTGGATTGTTTATGGGAAAATGTATGTTTGCATAATGCACACTATGGCTTTTCATTTGCTTTTTCATGTTTCGATTTCATACACTTGCTGGGTGTTTTTAGTTCTTGCCTTCTGCTTGGAAGCGTGTTTTGTATTTTGTCTTTGGTAATTTACTTGCAACAATGGCGATGAACAGACTTCGATTAGGCTGTGCTAAGAATCCCCTGACCCTTTGGTTCATTATAATTACCAGAGTTCTTGTAATGATTCTTGTTTCTGTTATGAGGTGTTTTTATTCGTTCGTGCATTGTGAAGAACATGTGGAGTTTTTAGCAAGACGTTGCTCGTCTTGTCTTTATATGTGTCGTGGTTTTGTAGTTACTGACAAATTTAGAGTTATTAGCAAGACATTGCCCGACTTGGAACTTGTATTCATTTTTGTATTTGTAATGAGTTTACAGGCGGTGGGAAGCCAACGGGGCGAGCATGGGAGAAAGACTTTTGCAAAGTAGTCGGGTCGCTCGACTGGGAAACCTTTCTGCATATGAAGAAGTTCACACACCTCTACAGCGATGTACTGAATTGGGACGACTCTGCAGGCGAAGAAGCATTCTACAACGCCAAGAATAGATATTGGGCCCAAATAAATGGGCGCCCGTGCGACGCCCCCTTACCTGATCCCGATCTTTACATCGACAAAATCAGTTGGGATTCAGAAACAGATTCTGAATTGGCAGCAGACATCGAATCGAAATTATCCATCTCCAACACAGGGGAGGCTGGCGGTCACGACCCTGTTGTAATTTTCGGCGACACTCTCTTGCCGTACACGCCGGTGGGATGGGGCGACGCAGCAGAAGACAAGAACTTGGACGTCCCGTTTAATCATTCGACTCCTCCCAATTACCTTTTCGGGAACCAAATGTTGCAGCCAACAGGATGGGGTGATTGTGAAGAGAATGTACAAGTTCCCGGGAATTATCCGTCAACTGATTACGGCAATCCGTGGGAGCAAAATTGGGGCAATCCGTTGAATAATGGGTCGGGAGCAACGTGGATGGGTTACCCGGAAAATGTATGGCAATTTAGCGGACCGACGGGATACATGTCGTGGGGCGGGAATTGGAGAGAGCATGGGTGGGGCTGGGCCTACGGGAACGACGAATGCAACTATGGAGATGGATCGGGCATCAATGCAGTGCCGGGTGTGAATTTATCGAGCGGCGGGAATGAGCAGGGGTTCTGGAAGGAGAGCAATGTTGCGATTGGCGGGGGAACCCCGTCTAGCCATGGCGGTCGGAGGGGTCATGGAAGGGGTAGAAATCGAAATAATGGCAGCAGGAACGGCAACAGGGGAGGACATCGAGAGCAGCAGCCTGGATCCGAGAAAAGATTGGCGCCGAAGACGACCGATTGTGTTGGGCAGGGCGCGGCGGCTATCACGGTGGGGCAGATGTGGAATCAGTAGGAGCCTGCCTCGCCGGCTTTGTGTGAAGCAAGCAGTGTGCTGTTTGGATGAGTATATATATGTATATATATGATACATGTCTTCTTAACAAGTCAGTCTTACTTTACAGTTAGTTGAGTTGGATCCAAAATTTTGACGATGTTGGGGAGATTTTGGCCTAAAGAGAAGAGTGAGTGAGTAATGATGAAACCCCCATTCGAGATTGTTAAGAGGTTCCTAATGGTAATGGGTGTATATATAATATTGATAGTTAATACTTTGCCATCGTCGTCTTGTGTCTCTCATTAATTGTGGATAATTTTGTTTTTAGTGTCCTATCTAATTTAAATGAATTTACTTGAAAATAGTTTCCTAAGTAAATTTTACTAAAATGATCTTTCGATGCCGAATTTGTTAGCTTGGCTCGTTGTTGCTGATGTAGCTAAGATGTCATAGTCACCTAGATATTATAGCTGAGTTCGTCACAATGACTATTTTAAAAAAAAAAAAAAAACGCTCCGTCCCAATACTATATTCACGTTGTCGTTTCTGTCTGTCCCACATACTATGTCATTTTCTTTTTTTTTTTAAATGATTACACACTTTAATCTCATTTTTAAATTTTATTTTTTTTAATTTTAATTAAATTAATTAGTTATCTTAATCTTAATTTATAATTATCTATATTATAGAATAATTATTTTCACTAATATATTATTAATTATCTACTGATTACATTCCTCTTAAAATACTGTCTATACAGTATAGCAAACACGATGTCTGGAACGGATGGAGTATAAAAGAGATGAGAGTCACCAAAAGTAACAATTTACCTTAATATTGTTGATTTGTTTACTATGTTGTTTTGGGACAGCAAACCAACAAAATAGTGAGGGAGCCGAAACCTCTGCGGGTTGGATTGGGTCTTGGATTTGATGCTGTTTTCTTTGAATTTTATCTGTTTGTTTCGTTTATATTTTAGATTATATAATAGCTATTCAATTCTCACCGTTTTCAATAAATGTAAGATATAATTCAATCAATAAATACATTCTCTTATTGTTTTAATCTATTTTTAATGTTAGATCATCTCTAATTCGTAACTCTATTTTTTGCAGATCTATAGTATATTTCTTCACATTTGCAGGGTTTATTACAGTAAACCATCTTTAATCATACCTTCTATTTTTCAGGACTTTTCTCCAACTATACCCTCCATTTTCGCAGAGTTAAAAAATATTCTCTTTATATTTTATTTTATTATAATTATTTTATCATAATCAATTAATTATAAATGTTAATAAATATTAAATAAATAAATAATTTACTATAAATATTAATTATAAAGTTATAATAAAAAATAATAAAGTTAAAAGTAACAAAAATAAAATAAAATAAAATAAAATATATCAAATATAAGCTTAAAATAAAATAAAAAAAGAATAAAATAAATAAAATATAAAAATATAAACAAAATATAAAAATTAATGCAATTTTTCATTTTGTCGTTGATGTTTAAAAAATTTAAATATTAAAAATTAAATATATAAAAAATAAATAGATAACTACGTAAATAAATTGATAATATTTAAAAAAAATAGATAACTATATATAAATAAATAATTTTATAAATAAATAGATAATTGTATTAAAAAAAAAAAACACCGCTGGCTGTAGCAGGTGAATTTTACAAAACTACGTGATGGATTGGAGCAATTTTTTTCTCCATGCAAAAATAGAGGAAAACCTCCTCGTCTTAACTAATTAATCTTAACTAATTAAGAATTTCAAAAGTTATTGAAGTCCTAGAAATTTTTAAAATACTAAAAATTTATTATTACATATGATATTTTGAAAATATAAATATTCAATATAATGTTTTTAAATAAATATTTATTGATTATTAGTGTCAAATTTTTTAAGACTTATGAATTTTTAAATAAATATTTATTGATTATTAGTGTCAAATTTTTTAAGACTTATGATTGTTAATTTATTTGTTAATTTATTTGTTGTACTTGTATTATTAGCTAATTACAAGTGTATTGTATAACAATATTGGTGCGTTGAAATCAACTATTGTTTATACTGTATAATTATAATATATATTGTTAATTTATGTATTTTATTTGTATTATATGAATGCATACGTTGGGTGCTATCTATAGTAATATCGTTTGTTGTTTAACAACACACCATGTCATGCAGCAGTGTGCTATAATACTGAATTTTAAAGTTAATACCACTGTAGTCGCAACCTAAATTAATATATGATTAAATATTTTGTTAAAAAAAAAACGGAATCCAAATAACAGAAAAAGAGATTTTTGTGAAAAAAAAAAAAAAAAAAAACCTGAATTAATACTGCAAATGAGATATCATTATTTACATGATTATTAATGACAAAACTTGAGATGATTATACACACGCATACAAAAGTTTAGGGTCCAATCAAAATGGTTATAATCTATTCTATATAATATATATTTGAGGTCGGAGTGAATTCCACGGCATCAAAATTATGTTTTTTATTTTTTTATTTTTTAATAAAAATAATTATATTAATTAATATAATTAATAGATTACCAGTAATATTATACTCTCTCATTTCTATAACGAAATATTTATTTATTTTTGTTTTATTATCTTTGAATATTAATTATTATATCAAAATATATTACAAATTAAGGAAAAATTACAGAAATACTTCTAGTAGTATTTTATAATACTTATATAATAATATTTGTACAAAAAATTATACAAATATAATAATATTTTTAATATTAAATACAATGACGACAAATAAATATTTTGTTATAAGAAGAAAATATATAAGTATTACTGATATAATTAATGAAATTATAACTAATAAATGTATTTATTAAAATTTAAAATTTATCATTATTATCTACATTTTATATATATAATTTAATATATTCTTCGTGTAATTTATTATTGATATAATTAATAAAATTATAACTAATAAATATATTTATTAAAATTTAAAATTTATCATTATTATCTACATATTATATAAATAATTTAATATATTTATTGTGTAATTTATTATTTATCATAATTTGAGTTTCATGATTCCGCAATTTCAAAGCATTTTTTTTTTGGAATTTTTTAATAAAAATAAACGTATTATTAAAATAGTTAAAAACTTACTACAAAGTATATAGTTGTAATTGACATAATTAATAAAATTATTAATTAATAAATTTTTTATTAAAATTTAAAATTTATTATCTATATATATTAAAAGATCGATTTGGGTTTAGGGTTCATTCCATCATTTTTTTTTTTTTATTTTCTTTTAATATTTTGATTTTTTTAATAAAATAAATAGTTATTAAATGCTAGTAAGTATATTCTGAAATGGAAGAATGAATTAATCAAAAGATGGCAAAAGAAAATGCTGCAAGTACCTAAGAGCATCCTCCACCCACACATATCTCCAACTCACTATATTCAACACCCCCACACTAACCCTCTCCACCACCGCCTTCCCCTCTCCGCCGCCGTGCCGGAACCCCAGCCGCAGATCAGCCACCAGCCCACTCACTCCGCCACCGGAGCAGCACCCCGCCGCCGGCAGCTCCTTCGAGAACCACCCCTCCAATCCAAATACAAAGTTCCCTTTCCCCTCACACTCCATCATCCCAAACACTCCCTTATACCCCTCCACCACCACATTCCACGTGATCCTCAGCTTCTCCAGCGTCGCCGCCTCCACCTCCGCCTCCGTCTCCACCTCCATGTCGAACCGGAATATCTCGTTCCGGTCCACCTGCAGCTCCCGCCCAGGCTTCACCACGGTGGCGATTCGCTCGCGGCGGCTGTGGATGTCGACGGAGAAGAGGAGATCGCCGAGGGAGAGCCGGGGTTTCGGGGGGCTTCGGAGGCGCCGGTTGTCGGCGACGCGGCCGAGGGAGTAGAGTCTCCGGTAGGGGACGGATTCGCCGGCGCGGGCGCGGAGGGCGGAGAGGGAGGGGTAGGCGGCGGAGCAGAGGGGCTGCCAGAGGTGGTCGGAGGACATGGAAATGGACCATGATTTGGAGACGCAGCTAGCGGCGGCAAGGGACTCCGGGTCCAGGTGTTGGGCGACGAGGTCCAGGACCTGCCATGGGGGTGGTGAGGATTTGATTATGGGCATTTCTTCTACAGTCTAGTCTACAGTGTGCCTTTGCTTCTTCAGTTTATCCAATTCGATGGTCCCTCTCTTCTGTACGGTATCATATTTTGTTGTATATGTGGTTCACTTGCCACGTCTGGCCAAAGGGGGACACTTGCTGCTCTAGGAATCCGCCACGTGGCGGGTACTTTCCATATTTGGGAGAGCACAAATTCCCAATTCAAGATGAGATGATACAGGATAAAGGGCTGCGGTGCTGAGCCATCTTCTTCTACGGCACATCGTATGTCATTAATAAATAACACATAATATTGTTACTGCTCTCCAATTTTTGATATTTTTTCCTTTTTATTTTCTATAATAAAAAAATAACAACATTTTCAAAATGAAAACAACAATAAATAATAAGCACAATTTTAGGAAATGAAGGGAATATAAATATAATACAGAGAACTAAAAGTACATAACATATTTGTATGGTTGTATAAAACATATATCATGATTGTATAGAACACATTTTTTAAATCTAAATAGATGGCATAGCACATGCTCTGCACTTTTAATCTCTGCTATATGCAATTTTTATCAGTGTTATTTGAAGAAATCACATTTTAAATCTAAACACATAACACTTTATTTTTATTTTTATTTTTTTTCTGATCTGCACTTTTAATCAATAACCGAAGCTAAAATAAAGCATTGCATTACAAATATAAGGAAGGGAAGCCTTTTTCTGTGTTTTTAATCTCGTCTTGTGTAAGGAAGTAGGTCTAAGGTTAAGGTACAAGGTTAAATCTGAAACAGGGAGGCGTCGAGGCTAACTAGCAAGAGATCGCAAACCTTGCTCTGTACACGACGACATAAAACTAATCAAACACAACTCCATCATCAATCAATCATTCTTCATTTCTTCCTCAGCATCGCACTTTCAGTACCATTTCATGGCTGGTTTGGGTTCTTTGGCAGATTCCCTGAAAAAGCACAGTCACAACTTCAACTTCCTCTTCAAATTTTGCTTTCAAGAAATGTACAGAGTCACAATATATGCTTGATTGTTAAAACAAATTACATTTACAACAAACATGTATGAGCTTGTAAAAGAACAGTTACTACACAAATCCATCATATAATATTTTTCTAGATTAAAAATATACACCAACAATTTTCAGCATCAATGTAATTCAAAGCATTTTCACATACCAACATATAGTCAAAACAATGCCTGCATCATTACCAAGCAATGAAAGCAACGATGGATCTAATACCTCAATACCTCAACCAGTGAACAAATAAGAACAACTATTTCAATGGCTTAAGAGAGTTATGCAGAGTATTTATATACCGTTGGCAAAGATTCCAATTGGACGCTTGTTCCCATGAGAGTCACGGCTCTCGGAAGAGCTGAGAAATTCCTCATACTGTGCTTCCATATTCAAGATATCCTCATCTACACCGACGTCAATCGTGTCCGGTAACATTCTTACGATGTCGTCCCCACCAAAATTGTCTTCTTCTTGTTGCTGGCTCAGCCAGTAGTCCCGGAACCAGGTGGAAGTGGTGACTAGGTTCCACCACTCGGGAGAGAAGTCCTCCACTTGCCGCATCGCTGCTGGAATGAACAACGGCGCATTTGGATTCAGCGTGGACCGTCCTCCGGATACAAGAGCCATTTATCACTTTCGATTCGGGTTAAAACAACCTGGAGAAAGATGAGTACCAGTAGAATTAAACCTCTCTTCAGTGATTACACTAAAGCACGTAAGAAGAAAAAACATTCAAACAAACAGGGGAACAATCCTCTCAGCGGATTTTGCTATCCTTTTTTCTACTGATCGAGCAATTGTGATTCTTAGTTTCTATCCAGCAATTTAAAAATTCAACTAAACCAAAAGCTCAATTTCATCATATTGTTAACCTTCCCCCTTTCCCTCCGCAGTCTTCCTTCGTTTCCCAAAACTGGATCTAAGTCCGACAAATTATCTTACAAGTGAATTATGCATCCATATAACAAAGAGCAGCTGCAAATGAACTGATTTACACACAGGATTTGCAGTATTTCCACATTGCATATAATCTTGAGACGATCAGATCTACTATTCATAAACTCATTACAAAAACCAAATTCACAATTCAGCAAAATCCACGAGCTGATAAATCAAATTAATCTATTAACATAAGGAAAACAAAGCTCTCGATGGATCAAACAAAACTTTGAGTCCACGAACGGTACCTTCTACGCAAAATATCTTCTTCCCCGGCGACCTATTTCAGGCTCACACGTAATCAGCAATGACTCGTTACGAACAAACGTGACCGCGTATTTATAGATCCGTAAAAACCGAGCATCCTGGTTCGGAACGAACCTAAGGCTCGGTGAGACACCGAACCTGCCCACCACTTAACTAAAGCTTAGGTCTATATAGCACACCGAAAGCGAACGGCTGATGCATAGTTTGTACGCAGTGCATAAAATGTTGTGCCCGTAGTATAGATTGCGTAGACTGCGTGGCTAGTGGCTACCGGTTCAGCCGGTGACCAAAGCGCGTATAATGAAACAAAACTGCGGGGCCCACTATGACCTGTTTAGTTGTTACATTCTATTAACAGAGGGAGGCATCCTACGGCGGAGAAAGGTGGTAGTTTTGATCCAACGGTGAGAGTGGCAGCAGAAATGAATTGTGGTGGTGGGACCCGATAATGATATGAAATTCTGTGGGGTGGGTATACCGTACACTTACGACGCTAATTATCATTACATAAATGGATTATGTCGCCTAAGTGCTGTTAGAAATTATTAAGCTGTCATAATTTTGCCAACACAAAAAATAAAAATAAACACGTTTTTTTTTTTTTTTTTCCCCACTATTCTCTCTCTCTGTATATTTTATCTTATTCAAAAAATAATACCCCTAAAGCATAATTTAGATTAACTTTTTTTAAGAACACAGTTCGATATTATGTACTTAATATATTTTCTCTCCCAATTAAAATGGTTATTTTTATTTGTAATATATTTTTTATTATAATAAAAGTAATTATATGATAGTATAATTTTTTTTTTAATTTTTACGTAAATTAGCTAATAATCCGTGCTATTTATGGGTATTTTATATACTAAATTATTTATAAGGTAAAAAATATCGAAAATATGGTATATCGATATACTGTAAATTTTGGTACAGTACTATAGAGTACTGTTGATTTTTGTGTGATAACTGTATAAAATTTTGCGTACCGTAAATTATACGATATAGGGGTTCACTATATATTTACGATATTGATATATAAAAATATTTGGTATATATAGATATTATAATATATACCAAAATACAAAATATAACAAATTACCAATACATCAAAATTAAACAAAAATTATTATATTTATATTTAAAATTTTAATTACCATAATTTTCAACATTTTTAGTTATTTTTGTTTTCTAGCATAATGTTCATGCTATGCACAAAAAAAAATTAAAAATTATTTTAATACTATTTCCGTCTATTTACAAAGTTGACATTTATTTTTTTTTGTGTTAATATTTGAATATTAATTATTATATCAAAATGTATTACATTAAGAGAAAATGACAAAAATATGTTTATTAGTGTCTTATAATACAACTATAATGACATTTGAACAAAAAATTATAAAAATATAAAGATATTTTTAATATTAAGTATAATAATATAAAAAGTAAATATAAACTTATTAAGTGGACGAAGAAAATATTAGTTATCATATTAATTTATATTTTAATATGTAGATTCCTTATAAATAAAAAATTATTAATAAAAGTATAAAATATTAAATACGCAATAAATAAAATTAGATACAAACTATTCTTATAATGACTCTTGAACTTTTAAAAATAAAAATAATAAAATAAAATAAATTTTTTACAGGAGTGAGTATATTAAAATTTACCATAATTTTTATAAGAATTCTCCAAATATTTCTTCAAATGCAAATATTCAAAATTTGAAATAATCTACAAAATTGAAAAAAAAAAACAACAATTATTATAATATAATAATTGAAATCAAATCAATTAGAAAAAAGAAGCATAAAAAGAACACATAATATACTCAACGGTACATATAAAATATGAATAAAAGTACTAAAATAAAAAAATAATTTTTATATATTAAAAATTATTATAATTTTTTGTATGAATTTTTAAATATTTTTTTAAATTAAAAAGATTCAAAATTTGAATATAACTATAAAATTAAAAAATAAATTATAATACAATACTTGAAACAAAAATAATGAAAAATAACATATATATTATAAAAAATAAAAAAGAATTTATTAGTAGAAATAAAAAGACATGATAGATAAAAAGAATAAATACAAGAAAAATAAAAGTATAAAATTTAAAATATATATGTAATATAATTTACTCTAATTTCTATTTGAAATTTTCAAATATTTTTTAAGATCAAAATATTCAAAATTTATACATAAGTTACATAATTAAAAATGTAATTAGAATATAATATTCAAAATCAAATAAATAAAAAATACATAGATAATAAAAATGAAAAAAATTCATTAATAAAAAATAATTTAATATTACTATTCTATATTTCCTTAGTCACAAATGATCTTTTTTTTTTTCAATAGAAGATTACCTATTTCTATGTTTAGTAAATTTATTCATACTGTTAAACATACTTAACAAATATAAATTAATTAAATTAAATTTCTAACATATTGCGCATAGGCCTAGTTCAAAATTTATTTATTTCTATATCTTTTCTTAATAAGTATATATATTTTATTTATATTTAAATTAATTTTTATAAATTAATTTTAAATTAATTATAAATGAATATATATTTATTTATTTGTATTATATAAAATTTTATTACCTACAAAATGATATTCATATTGCATATACTTTATTGAGATATAATCTTAATAATATTTAAAATACTAACAACACTATTCATATAAAGAAATACTCCCTCCATCCATTAAAATTAGCCCATTTGGGCTCGGCACGAGAATTAAGAAAAATAAATATTTTATTGAAAAAGTGATAAGTAGTTGAGGGTAGTTTTGAAAATTTAGTTAAAAAATAAAATAAACGAAGAAAGAGAATATAATAAAGTTAGTGGTATTTGTTGTAAATAAGTGTTGAATTGAGGGTAATAATTAAAAGTTGATTTGTTGACATTGTCAAAATTAATAATGAGATAAATTTAATTGACGGATTAAAAAGGAAAATAAGAATAAATTTGACGGACAGAGGGAGTAATAAAATAATGAGATAACTTATTGTTAATAACTTATTAATCTACATTATCTAAAATACCGCATCATTAATTAAAGAGTTCATCTTTGCTGGGACGAAGAAATTATAAAATTAATAAATAATATTAAGTATAATTAACTAAATAAATAAACAAAAAAAATCATACATAATCGATCTCCATTCTTTCTTTTCTTTTCTTTTTCTATATAGTTTTCTACTTCTTTTTTTATTCTACTTCCTTTGTCTCTTCTCATTGGTCTAATTTTTTTTTTCTGAATTTATTCATACATAATAAAATATATAAATTTTTAAATTTAAATATTTTTTGTTTACTAAATCTGAATATTTAAAATATTTCAATATTTTTTATATTAATATTTATAATTCTTTTTGTTGTGTGATTTTCTTCTTAAATTCTTTCAAATCAAAATATTTGAAATTTGAATATAATCTATAAATTTAAAAAATATACCATATTATAATACTCAAAATTATATTAATTGAAAAGCACATGAGAATAAGATAATGGATTGCTATAATAAAAAATACATAACAATAATTATAAAAGAAATACAAATAATTAATTTTTGTATAATCAAATTTAAAATTTTTAAAAATAAATAAAAAGCCATGTCCGTTGATGTGTCTTCTAGGTCCCTTTCCGCTTCTATGGCATCCTCGACCTTGGTATCCTTTGTGGATATCCCACATGAATTTTTATTAGAAGGATTCCACTATATATATTGATGAGAAAACACAGTTATCTTTTAAAAAATAATAAATTATATAAAAAAAATAAAGTATGAAAAAAATACAATTTTATGCTAAGTCCTCGTGAATTTGAGTTACAAATGATAAAAAAAAGATTAAGCCAAACCACACACTCCAAACCAAACAAAACAATCATAATGAATTTCCCAAATTATGGTCCCATTCACCATTAACCATATAATTAGAAATAGACCTATGACATAATTTACATTAACCATATAATTAGAAATAGACCAGGAAACAGGCAGGCTTTCTATGACATAATTTACAGGATAACATATCGACTACTTCTACTTTTAATTGACACATTTGGATTTATTTGTTTTTGATGATTTTTAAATTTATTTATATTCATTTAGATATATATATATATATATATATTTGAATGATATTTTTACTTGTAACTATTCTAATACATTTTATTTTTTTATAGATAAATTTTGAAGGAGCTGACAATTATATTATAGTGATTAGTCCGTAAATTACACATGTGAATACAACTTCATAAGATAATGTAAAAGAAACTAATGACTCTAAAAATTGTAAAAAATAAGGGAGCGGGAATGATGGGATCATTTTGCAATAATAAAAGTTTATGACGTGATATTTGTTGAATACAATTATTGTAAAGTTCGACTCAAAGCACCAAATGATTGTTGAACAACAAATTTATATTCAGATATAGCGTTATCCATAAATTAGATTATTTAAATTTGAGTCTATCGAATTTGTTTTATATTGTTTATATATAAGTTTCTTTATTTTGATTATCAATAAGACAATCTCATTATTTTTCCCAAAATTTCTAACATGATATCAAAACCTATTTTTTTATGTCGTAGATATAGCCTACCAACCCACGTTAATCCGGGTACATTCAACTGGATTGTATCCGGGGGTCTTGTGATTTTGAGATCATGTATTTGCAAGTCTGCCCTTTTGCAAATATGTCTGCTATCTGCCATATGTCTATTGTCTGCGTGGGATCTGAAATATATCTGCTATCTATCATTTGTCCGTTGCCTGCGTGCGATCTAAAATCTATTTGTTATCTGTCATCTGTTCGCTGTCTGTCTGTTGCCTGTGTGCGATCTGAAATCTGTCTGCGATCTGTGATCTGCCATATGTCCGCTGCTTGTCTGTTGCCTGCGTACGATCTGTTGTCTCTGAAATTTGTCTGAGATTTGTCCGAAGTCTGCGATCTGTTCTATGATCTACCTGGTGTCTGCGATCTGTTCTGTGATCTTTCCGATTTTTGCGATGTGACTTGTCTGCTGTCTGCGATCTGTTCTGTGATCTGTCCGATGTTTGCGATCTGTTCTGCAATATGTCCGATGTCTGCGATCTGTTATGCAATCTG